GGGTTACAAGAACACTCTAAGTACTCTTTCAGCTCCCAGTCCCTTTCCGTATTTTTTCGCCCGCATTGACCCCCCCGATACAAAGAAACTAAGAGATTGTAAAGGTATGAAGTGTAAAGAAAAGAACTTAAGTGGGTGGTTACACTCGGATAGCAACAAAAGCCATCACTCCGACTTTCACTTCTGACTTGGAAAAGCCTATTAGCCCACGAAAGCTCAAAACGGATTATGTGTAGAGTTTCAAAATATATAGTTCCGTGTTTGGATTCAAAGTTTCCTTCATTCTAGCAGAGAAAAACAACAGATTTCCAACCATTCCTATCGGTCAAAGACGCAATAACAACCTTGAGGTTTCACGCCGGTAGAGAAGAGCATGTCAGGCTCTTTATGCTACAATTCAAAGGAACAGCAGGTCAGCTCTATTTTTGACTTATGATCAATTTAAATAGTTCGCTTTTGCTCAAAACCTTGTAGCTTAGTCCAACGTATAGGTAGGTTTTGTATATAGGCTATTTAGTCTGATCTAAAGAGAGTGAATTGTGCGCGGTGCTAGAAATATCTTTGACACCGCCGAAAAAGTGTGTCCAACAGAGTTTAAAATGTCCTAGAAACAAACGACATTGTTTTTGTGGATACAAAGAAAAAGCTTCTCTTTACAAAAACAATCGCCTCTGTGAAGGGAAATTTAAAACCAAGCTAATTGATTTTGCATGTGATTATCTGAAAGAACTAATAACTCAGTCCTTGATGCAAGATAGTGTGCGTAGCAGAAAGCTAAAAAGTATTTGATTGAATCAGTGAGTGTTTCAAAAGTAGCTTCCCTAGAAAAGTTGTCCTTAATGAACTGGGCCGTTTTTTTTTTTTTTCCCTGAACTTACATAAAAGATAACATAAACAAAGAAAGTTAATAGTGCTTATATAAAAGGAGGGTCAAACGGATTGATCAATCTTTTGTGTCGGGTCCGAAGCGAAACACCCCATTGAAAATGGCGAAATCGTCCGCACGAAAACAGCTTTAAACTTCTGTTTCTCTTGGAAGGCAGAGAGAAGGCGAAACCTCAATCAAAAAGAAATTTATTGGCATTCTCAATTCTCAACTTCTGTATCACAAAAGTATCATAATGTCTCAATTAAACATTTTGATTTCAATCCTACAAAATCAAATTGAAAGGATCCTGAGTGCGCTAGCTAACTTAAAAACAAATTTCTGACGGAATACAAAAAACGTGAGTACTTACAGTCAGAGAGAAAACAGTATATAGGGTGTTTCGCCATCGAGGGTCTTGGCAGCAAAATTCGATTGAGAAAATGAACTAGTAGCAGAAGTCCAAATTAAATGACAGCCTCCGGCTGGCAGTTGCACAATGTCTGTTTCTAAACAGTGGCTGCTGGAGGGTCGCTCATAACCAAAGTGATGAGTTCTTTGTAAGGAACGACCTCTTTCTTCTTGTCTTCGAGCGACTTCACAATTTGCTCCACCTCATCCTCTGTCAGTCTGGAATCACCCTTCATACAGAGGAAAGCTCGAAGCTGCAACGAATCAATTAAACCACTCTTTTCTCGATCAAAAATGCTGAAGAACTCCAGGAAGTCTTCCATGGCTGGCTGGGGTTTAGCTTTCATTTCCTTGTGAATAGCGCAGAATTCTGGAAACTGGATAAACTCCTTGTCTTTGTAGTCGGCCTCCAGCTTTTCCAAGTCAGTACCTTGTGGGTTTAAGCCGGCTGAACGAAGAACATCTTTTATCTGCGCGATTTCAATCTTTCCCTTTCCAGTGCGGTCAAAAAGGGTAAATATTTCTTCAAGTTCCTCTTCAGCCATAGTGCTCACTCCAAAGAATTCGGATAAAAATTACTACTAATTGTGTTCCGATGCAAACTGTCAACCTCGTCACACTTTAGCTTGATGCTAAATGTAAAATGCTAGCCCGCCGCGAAGCAAGTTTACTTAAAACCTGCAACTGTTAATTGATAACCACCCTCTGTGGCAAAATTGCTGACGACCCAATCAACTCGTCGATTTCCCTATGTGAGCATAACATCAAAAACTTGTTTATGATGTTTTCCTGTACGTTTGATCGATACCCTGGTTATCAAGCTTTCGACGTATTCGGGGAACTACAAAGGTTTCGAAGAGATTGAATCAAGGATTAATTACTTAGAAGAAAATTTGAGAAAATGAACTCAGCATGAAATGGGCAATTAATTGACAATTTACACTGTCTTCTACTTATCTAAAGTTCACATGCTTCTTGTTGTCAAGTATGTGACGTCATGTTGTAATCAGTTGTGCACAAACCCTTAGCGTTTTCTCTTCGGTTCAACTTTGCGGATCGAAACAAAAACAAGCTTGAAAACTGCTCTGGGAATTGTGCATACGAGATCGTTTTAAAGACCAAATTTACGACTACGTGTTATTTACCATTACTACAACTCTAAAAGGGTTCGGTAGTTTGAAATTGAATGGTTTCCTTTTGCTATAGAGGAAACACCTGAACGAACTTGCTGGTGCGTAGAATCTACAAATTTTAATGATCATTGGTTGCTTGTTTTTATTTCGGGCGAACCTTCTGGTCCGGTCAAGCTTAAGTTAGAACTGTTTTCGCTGTTGTTTTCAATCAGCAATAAGTAATTTAGTATTTGTTCACAATCTGATTCGTGAACCATTTGGAACAGTTTCCATAGGTTTTTTTTCATTTCGTTCAGCGATTGACAAATATTCCATCAACAGGTTGTTATTGTACTAATCATTGTTTTCAATACAATAGTTTGTTGATTTCGCACCAAAATTCTCAATTCAATTTATGTACAAGTATATCATGTTAAAGATGGCTCTTCTGTTGTTTTGCGGTCAAACGAAACTCATTGAAACTGGTTCAGTTCAGTAAAGGCTACGCGAAATTGAATTTTTCACTGAGAATCGAAGAAAGATTCGATAAAACATTCATGATCGTGCCTAAAAATTTAATTCAATCATCTTTATTTTAGCAGCACCTGGAGGATCTTGCGAGCGGATGACAACAACCTCGACATTTGTGGATGTCTCGTGGAACTTTTTATCGCTTTTGAGAGACCCAAAGATTTTGCAAAAGTTAGTTTGCACACTAAGTATGTAGACTAACTTTAAGGATTTATTCCATGAATATTTTGGCATGAAATCGCTGGAACATTCCATAGAAAATCTGTATTCTCCCCGTATTTTCTGAAACAGGATCTTTCTTAATAGAGATCACCAATTCATTATACGATGTACCTTTGATAGAGTTTTTAAAAAAGTATAACTGTCCAAAATCAAAGTAATTTCAACAGCCCATAAAAACGAAGGAAAGAGCACAAGAAACTGCACCGATGAGAACTGGAAGCAAACTGTCTGAAGCGCTGAGAAACGCGTGATGTTGTATTTAGTTTGGAATCTTATCAGTCGAGAAAGTTGTGTGAGTTTTTTTGAACCAATCAAATAGCGAGGTAATGCAAAACTAAAGCAATTCCGGATTACTTTCGAAAATTACTCAGCGTGACAACCACAGCATCAATTACAGCATCTGTCCATATCTTTTCTTTGTCCTTTCTGCTACCTGCCCGCAAGCTTTTTCAAAGTATAGCACCTTTAAATTTAATCGAAAATCATCCATAATTTTGTAAATTGTGAATAGATATTGTTTTCACACATTTTACTTTAGATAAATAATAGCTTTCAGATATTTGTCAAAGTTCTCCAAAAGTTCAGCCAATATTTGTCCTCCACATCTCTTGTTGCAAAATTTTACGTACACGACGAATTGACCAATTAAAATCGCGTTTCAGTTGTCCAGAACGGGGGGGGGGTTGTTTGGGAAACGATGGCATCAAAATAGTAAACTTGTGGAAGCAACGTTCTCATTTATGTGGCGCTGTGGGGATGATCGCGGCAACCGATAACGCGCTTTTACATCGAGTCATATGCAAAAACAAAATATCGCGGGAGGAACAAAGTTGAAAGTACTGTCTTCCTCTTTCGTGCTCAGTTCATTAACCAACCAATCAAAATTTGTTTTTTTAAAACAAATGTTGTTGGCACCGAGACCAAAATGTCTTTGAAAAAAAGATTAATTTACAACGTGTGGGTGGATAATCGTTGGCGCGCCAACATTCACAAGTGTCGTTTCCGTCGGTTTTTTTAAAGTACACGAGGAGAAAAATATTGATTTCGATCGTTCTACAATTCCACACAACCATTTTCATAAATTTTTCATACTAAATCGATACCTTTGTTTTATGAAGCAAAACCTCGATCTTTCCTTTGCATCTAAGTACCAAAACAGTGATCAAACCACAACTCAAATTAACATAACAAAAAAGGCCACAAGAGACGGCTGATGCAACAACATGATAGTTTTTCTCAGACAACCAATTCAAACAAAAGAAATGATTGGCTCACGCGAAGAGCGTCAAAGTTTTACATTACTTTATCAGAAAGCTGCCCTCTAAAAATTGTATTTCCGTTTATTTTATTTTGAAATACGGCTAGCTTTTTTTGAAGAGATTCCGAGCCAAAAATTATCGTGTTTCCTGTAATTGTGTGTAAGCTATCCTGATTATGTATGAAGGATTAGTAAAGTAATATCTTTTGTTGCTACACGATGGTGACAATACTAAGAATACGACATCAGTTGTGATTGGCTAATTATTTGCCGGTGTTTCATCATTCAGCTGTTTACATACCACGCTCTGAGCACATGTAAACGACCGGCCTTACGCTGAAATACCGCGAAACCGGTTACTTTACGATTTTACATCCTGAAAGAGAAGCTCGTTTCATAGTCGAGTAGCCGCTGGGACATTCCAAATCCTAATCTTTCTCTGTTCTCCCGGAAACGTCTCGCACAAGTAAGACTAAAAATAATATTACTAGCGCAAGTATGGAAATTAGAGCACTCTGATTTCGTCTGAGGACAAGAATATAAACATCGATCGAAAGCGATAAAAATTATGTTGCTTTGATCTTTCGACAGATTTTGCTGAAGCTTCTCAGCTCTGAAGTAAAGATGAGTGAGAAAAATCCGTCTGCTGATAAAACTGCCGCCTACAAAAACATTTCAACAACGGCAATGTTAACATCTGATGAAGACGATCCCCAAACAAGAGTGGAAGTGATCGAGACCGAGAAGATACGACTTGGATGGGACAATAAAGTCCAATTTCTTCTCTCTGCGATCGGGTTTGCGGTTGGTTTGGGAAACGTTTGGAGGTTTCCATGGCTTTGTCAGAAAAATGGAGGAGGTATACTCATTTTATCAAATTTTCCTAATCAGTTTTTCTTGAATACTAAAAATATGATTTTAGAGTTAGGTACAATAAGAAAAGGTTGATTTACTCCCCTCGTAATTGCCATTTATCAAGTATTTGAATGTGAAATCCTCAACATAAGAGCGAACTTTATGAAAAATCAATCTAGGCTCATCTCTTAAATGAAAGAGCGTCTCTGATTCTTTGAGGATCCGTGAATTTTAAATCTCTTGTCAATAGAAATGAACATTTTAGAGTCCAAGATGTTCATTTCTATTGCCAATAGATTTAAAATTAATAAAAAAACAGCGATAAATTCACGTTCCCTCGGGAGTGTCTTGAAATTCAACAGGAACAACGAATAAAAAACACTTCAAAGTGTGAGGGAACGTTAGCATTGCCGTCAAATTCCGACCAAAATGATTCGCTCCCCTGAACGACAGAATAATGACCGAAACAAAAAAAGCGCTCGAAAATTTCAAAAAATTTCACAAACTATTACACAAAATATGCAAAATTGAAATTCTAGCAAAAGGCACTGCTTCTTTTTTTATTCCAACCAATCGATAGCTTTCAATCCTTTTTTTTTTTAACCCAATAAAACTAACGCCCTGAATACGGTAGGCAAGATCATATAGCCTTAGCACACTTCACAATAGTTAGGACTTAATCTGGGAGACAATTAACAATGAAACACTAAGTTTTGGAAAACAAAATTTTACAGATGTGCGCGAGAACATAAATAAATAGCGTTTCTCTCTGCCCTCAGTCGGGAGTCCTTCAGCCGTGCCAAAAAAAGTTGAAAGTTCAACCAGAATCAGTGCGATCAACTTTCTTAGTAAGATATTTTCCACTTTTGAACCGATTTTCGATACCGGATTTATTTAGCTGTGAGACATGTTATCGCATCGGTCAAACAAAATTTATGGGAGGAATACGCCTGCCATCTGATGTTATCAAGATCTTTTTCATTCAAGTTCCTATATCCAAAATCAAGAAATAACTTAGAGTACGGCCTTGGAGAGCAAGGAATGCTTTCTTTTGTGACCGCAATATGACAGAAACTCAATTCGTCTGTTTTGTTCTTGTTTTCTTTTCTCCATGATTTTTTTTAGAAGCTGAGATCAAAGTCCACAAATTTGGCGGCAAATATTCTGCACCCGCTGCAGGGGGGTTTTATGGGTTTTTTTAAAAGGTGAAATGGTAGCGCTTAGAGCACAATCTTGCTTCTCTTTTGTAACATTGGGATTATCTCAAGGATACAACCTTATTTATGGAGTCTGGAAGCTTTGGTAAAAGTGTTTTTCGGTTCTCGTGAGAAAAAAGACAGCAGGTTGTCGTCGGTTGATCAGTTCCCGAAAAATGTCTCAGTTTTAAACAAAGTTGAAGTGGAACAGGTCTAGGTTAAGTGGGTGCCTCAGGAAAAAAATAATAAAACAAAAATAATCATAGCCTGGTGGTAAAATTGAATACACTTTGAAAATGAGGCTGAAAAGTTATTCATTGAAGAAATGCTTCTATACACTGTGTGAATCAGATAAAAGTAATTGGCAAACATTTTCCCTGCACGAGGTAAAAATGTTTGCATTCCAGGTTCCGAACACTTACGTTTCTAATGGCGAGAATTGACATTTTTAATTTAGGAACACCTTAAAGATCACGCTATTAGGATGGAACTTTCGAGAAAGGGTTATGAAAGGGTCCGAAACGTTTCCGTCTCATTGTTCACGGAGTTTTTCATCACGACAGGGTACGGAAATTTAGGTTTTGACAGCTCTCTGCTGAAAAAGTAATTGGAATGAAGCTTTCTGTGCATTTACATGAAACCGGGCAAATATTTTCTTTTCTGATCAGTTTATTTAGATCTATGTACATTTAAAAACATCTTATTTTGAATTTAAGTGGAAGGGACATGGAGGGGGTCCTTTCCATTCCTAAATATTTGGACTCCGAAAAGTAAACCATTAAGGACCTATGCACATATTAAATAATTCAAGCATCATTGTCGTTCTGTTTTATTACTATTTTTTTAATGAAATTTGTATTCTTTTTCTCGTAATAATTTCAAAAAGTTGTGCATCTCTCGATAAATATCGTAACGTCATCAGAAACTTGAAAATAAAATAGTCCAGAACATGCATAAGACGTGAAACAAACTAAACTTGATGGAAATTAGGGCGTTGGTCTTAGGCCGCAATTCTACAGCGATTAGATTTTCGATGTTTTGATTATGAACGTAAAACTGCGGTAAAACACACGTTCTATACATTAGTGACGATAATACAGGGCTGCTGATCCAGTAAAAACGATTGGTATCGAATGCTTACGGTTTTTCACAATGAGTGTAAATTTTAAGACCAGTTTCCATTACACCATTTTCGGCAATTGCTCAGATTCGATGGCCTTGCCCTTAGTCATAAAATATAGTAAAGCATCCAGTTCTTTGTGGCCGCGATCTTAGGGAATCAAAATCAATCTCGACATTTAAACGAATTACATTAAGAAATCATGAGTGATGATTATTTCTTGTGTCTATACTTCAGCTTATATGAATGCATCCAGACTTTCGCCACTTCACTTGATAAAATTTTTAGCTTAGGGTTATGGCGGAACTGGCTCATGCTCTATCTCGAGACGTAACTCAAGATTGTATGATTAGATACCTCAGGGGAAAAAAATTGACGAAAGGTAGACCACCAAAACACCTGATAACATTAAAGTCTCTATTTTACCGGCGGCTTTGTTTGCGAGCAGTACTGACAAGATCCACTGCTATCAGCTGAATGTGGCGATTATTCTTCCCTCTGCAAAGTGATTAACAGAAGTTTATCAAAAGACCTAAAATCCACATCGTGCAGAGTTAAACATTACCCTGCCGATCTATACGAGTGTTTTGACGGAAAGATGTATCTTTTCGGTTTCAACAGTCCAGTCAAGTTTGACTTCCACTATGCGTTCATTTTTACCTTAGTATACTATAATTAACAAAGTTTTTCTATTATCCTTTTTTCCTTTCCTTAGGCGCTTTTTTGATACCCTACTTTGTCATGCTGATATTCGAGGGAATACCGATCTTCTACTTGGAACTCAGTATCGGTCAACGCCTTCGTCAAGGAGCTATCAACGTCTGGAGCACAGTTAGTCCCTACCTGGGAGGTGTAGGGATTGCAACAACGGTGGTTAGCATACTGGTTGGCAGCTATTACAACGTGGTCATCGGTTGGGTGTTGTTCTACTTCGTCCAGTCGTTCCAGTCCCCTCTACCGTGGGCAGAGTGTCCTCAAGTGGCAAGCCCTAACGGCACTGAGTTAACAATACCAAGAGAATGCTCCGAGAGCAGTCCAACTGCTTACTTCTACCACAGAGAGACTTTAATGCACGCCAACAGAATAGAGGAGAGCGCAGAAATCAACTGGAAGTTAGCCGTGGCCCTTGTAGTTGCGTGGGTGTTGGCCTACCTTTGCATCATCAAAAGCATCCAGTCATCTGGCAAGGTACGATAATTTTTCAAGTATTGTTAACTTATTTCTTTGTCATTAAGCTCAGGCTCGTTATGCATGCAACAGTCTGCCACGGTTAACAAATTCCTTACAGAAAATTTCAAAACTATGCTGAATCACTTTAAAGGCAAATTAGGGTACTTTTATCTATCCTGCTATAAACGCGAAAATGATTTTTTTGGAATATTTTACCATCTGTTAAAATAATGTCACGGTAAGCCATGGTGTAATCTTGCAGGTCGTCTACTTCACAGCAACATTTCCATATCTGGTCCTCTTTGCATTCTTCATTCGGGGTCTACTTTTGAAAGGCTTTGAAAAGGGAATAATACATTTGTTTACTCCAAAGGTATGTATATCCTTTAAAAGTCGGGATCTTTGCACTGAAAGGAAAAGAAGACAAGTTAGAAGAAGAAAAAAAAACTCAGGGAGGTTGTGTTACGTTAGTCTGCGTTAAGTTCTCATGATGTACTTCTAGGGGAAATAGGCTAAATTAGGTATCCTTCTCTGCCGATTAATTAAAAAAAAAAGTTAAAGATAGGCCAGGGATTGTGAGGAAGAGTTAGGGAGATAGTAAAAAGAGATAGGGACACTTAAGTGTGGCGTGACAGTTGGGCCTCTGGTGTCCAAGCCTGTTAAAATTGTAAACATTTGATATATGAATCGGAACAATCTTAGGAAAAGTTATGAGGAGACTCGCTTGATAGGATCGGCTTATGCACAGTTGGGATCATCCACCAAAATAGACTAAGGGGGGACCTGCCTGACCTTCGCTGTCGCGCACGTCAGAGGAATAAGGGTAGATGCCACGATAGCATTGACTGCTTTATCAATTTCAAAACCTTTGCATGCTAGGACCTGAAACGTGATGATTCCTACAAAGGTCATTTGATTACTCTGAAAATATTAATTTTTGAAGCAGGAGTGCTCGCATCTTGAGGCTACCCAGAGGTCCAGATTGTCTAAAAAAAGTAAGCTCTTTCTTAGCTGTAATTATTCTTTGGATGAGACGAGTTAACCCAAGCCAAAAAAAGGTTTAGAGGTGTCTTGATGTCATCGCATCCTTGCGATTCTTTTGTCAAAACGACAATTGTCAATAAGTCGCCGTTAACTGCGGTTAACTAAGCTTAAACTGAACAATCCATGGTTCGCTCAACTTAGAAGCTGTGAGAGGGCTTACTGAGAGAGGGCTTTCTTAGATAGATAGTTTATGTAAAGGAATAGAAAAAAAGGTCTAACCATTAATCCCTCTCCAAGATGATAACTAACGTCTAACTGCAGTAGAGGTTTCTGCGATTCCTATGCAGTTTAACACTGCGGTCCCAATGATGTAGCTCCAGCAAACTTGGACAGCGTAAGTATGGACCATGTGATGTCTGCAATTCTAATGCAGAAAAGTGCCATATCGGAGATGTATCGAACCTTAAACTGCAATTCAAATGCAGCATAATCATAAGAACGGTTTTTCAGTTTCCTGCAATTCAAATGCAGTTTCCCTCGTTTGACTCACCCTCGCTATCATAATACTTCAAATCACTTCATACCGACCAAATTAGTCGCGACAACTCCATGCCAGGCATCTGCAATTCCAGTGCAGTCTCAAGCCTGCTGGTGAGCATTGCTGCTAAAATCGGTTGTTTCCGCTCAGTCTTAAACCCTTTCAAAAGAGCACCACCAGATTCCGCATCGTACCACATTAAGCTATTTCCGCAAGTTCTTTTAACGCTGAAATCCTTTCTGCAATTCCAATGCAGTTCCCTAAGTCAAAACAGTGAGCAAGATAAGAGATTCGGCGTTGTTTGGAAGGAATGCAAAACAGTGGGAGAAACCTTTTCCTATCTTCATAACTCGGCAATTCCAATGCAGAGTTTTAAATCTCTCGGGACTTTTCCAAACAAATAGGATACACCCTAACAATGCAGCTTACAACTAACTACTAGGTTCGGTTCTTGTCAATAACTGTAGGCCGGCTCGGCAACGAAGACGTCATCTACGTGTATCAGTTTTTCCCGTCCCATGAAGAGGTTCGAGGCTACACAAACCACACCGGCGACTCCTAAACCATCAATTACAGACAAACGTGTGCAATTCCAATGCATTATATATTCAATGAAAAGTCAACAGACACTAACATACATCCATGCTTCAAATGAAGAGACTCAGGATGGCAACAATGTGATCAGTACAAAGTGAGGATCTCGATTCTGAGGTTTAAATCGAGGTGGGCATCGCGTAGACATATTTCAAATGCACAATTAAAGACATATGTAATTTATTAATAAAGCTTCATAAATCTCCATTCTCTGCAGAGTAACAAAATTGTTTGCTATAGTGAAAGGAATAATGCTGTGTGCTGTGCCTTTAGAGCTCAGTGCCAGCTGTAAATCATAGAATATCACTGAAATTTGGCGTTCTCGAAACGCGGACATTCTTTGGAAAAGAAACTTGGACATCGCGTCTTATGCATTGAAACATGCACATCTTTCTGAAACAATTATAAAAGATAAACTAAGCTATTCTTAAAATTTATTTAATCAGATATAACACATCTAAATGCTGTTTACTGCGCCTTGTGCCCAGTCACGGCAATCGGACCAACGCAGTAGTTCTCAAAACACTGATTGAACAACAAAAACACAATGATATGGTTAGTTTTTTTGCTGAGCCCAGTAATCACTATCATTTTTAAACGCAGTAGTTCACAAAAACTCTCAATCTCTTAAATCAATATTCTCCAAATGAACTAAGCGAAGAGAAAAGAATGCTGACCGCTGCGCCATGATGCCCAGTGGTAGTAACCAACCAAATACCCAGTCGTTCTCAAAACACTGGTTCCTATATTTACAAAATCGATTAATATTCTAAAATGCTGATTGCTGCGTCTTGGTGCCCAGTAACAGTTGTCAATCGGATACCCAGTAGTTCTCAAAACACTGGTTCTTTTATTCACAAAAACGATTTGAATCTCTAAAATGCTGATTGCTGCGTCTTGGTGCCCAGTAACAGCTGCCAATCAGATCCCAGTAGTTCTCAAAACACTGGTTTTCTCTAAATACAAAGGTGACTTCTAAACTTTGAATGCTGATGCTGCGCCATAATGCCCAGTAACAGCTGCCAATCAAGTACCCAGTAGTTCTCAAAACACTGGTTGTTCTACAGATGCAAAATATATACTTAAAAGCTGGTTACTGCGCTTTGTGCCCAGTTTCAGCTACCAGTCAGTCCCAGTAGTTCTCAAAACACTGGCAGAAGAGACAAATTGAGGTGTTCTGGTCTATCGATCAAGCATCTAAAGCACCCTAAAATAAGATGTAAAATATGTTTGGATCTTCTGCTGTGTCCGGCACTCAGCAGAAGAGCTCATTCGCTTGCACAGTTGTTCTCGAAACACTGAAGTCGTCTGCATGATAGCCACAAATTTAACATTTAACATCTGATAACTTAAACCTGGTGAGCTAAGTGTATTGCTCATCATTTACTTATTTCTCCAATTAAATGGACCATAAACTGAATACTATTAACGTTAAACTCTTAGTTAAAGGTAAAAGAACTGAATACATCAACATCAAAACCTGTCTGGCACTGATCTCTGCGCCTCGAGCCCAGATGAAATGTGTCGATCAAAGCAGGACTCAGTAGTTCTCGAAACACTGATTTATGTTTTCATCAACAGTGGGATCGACTTCTGGACCCACTGGTCTGGCTGGACGCAGCTACACAAATCTTCTTCTCTTTGGGCCTGGCATTTGGCACAATGATTGCCTATGCCAGTTACAATCCTATTCACGGAAACACACTACGTGATACCATTACAATTTCCGTCGCTAATTGTATGACTTCCCTGTTCGCTGGGATTGTTGTTTTCTCCATTTTAGGATTCAGGTAAGAGAACTCATCCCTGTTTCATCGAAAAACATATGAAGATCCAATCAGTTTAGACCAGAACTCTCCGACCCTTTCCTTCAACCCACATTTTGGATAGAGTATAGCCAAGAGAAAACTGCTTCCTTCTACAGTTTAGCGCCTCAATTTGCCAAAATTCAGCAAATTCTAATGGTACTGAGCTCACAAGTTTATTCATTTCTGGCAAGACCACTATTAAGCTCGAAAATTGACCGAGACACGGCGAGCAATAAAGTGCCATAAGGTCTCTCCTTTGCGAGGAAATCCCGGTTGTCGACGAAAAACAGGTTGTGCATAACTCCGAGAAGTTTGACGATAGTTTTGGCGCGAGCTTCAGACCGGCCGTGACAAATTAGTCGTTACCGCAAACACGTTTTTTAGGCCATACCTCAACGAAATACCGAAGATCAGTCCATGGTGTCACTGTCTGCCTGTCGAGTTTACAAATCGATCATTGGCAATAGGTTCTTCTACAGAATTACAAATACAGCACACGCCGTTTCCAAGTGTACAAAACCGTGTCAACTAATATATGAGTACCGGGTCAGGAGAAACATTTAGCCAAATCCGTGTTGCGGGTCTCCGCCATCGCTGACCATCTTGGTTATCTCTGGTGTTTTCGTCTACCCTCTATGGAAAGCTGAAAATGACCCAAACATTGTGACGTATGCAAGTCCTTTAAACTGACCAAAAGAAAAAAGGCCCGGCCAACGGGGTTTGGGTATTCAGGTTCCCAGGGTCTTTTTCTAAAATATCGAATACATAATTTACTATCACAGGAAAGATATGAGTTATTTCGTTCAAGTCAAAAATTGTGGGGATTTGACTTTAAAAATGTAACAACTTTAAGGTATATCGGTAGTTTAATGGAACAAGATCGGGTTCATCAGTATTCCACTAACCCTTGAGCGGAAATAACAAGGAGGGAACCACAGAGTATAAGTGAGGTTCATTCTTGGACAAAATAGATAGAAAAACTAGAATAACCCTCCAAAAATTTACAGATCTAACAAAGGACGCGTTTTGGACTTCATCTTTGTTATGGAAGGGAAAGGGGTTGATCATGAATTTTCGTTTCGTCTAAAACGGTGGGAGGCTGTTTTGAAAAGTAGGATGGGAGCTCAAGACTTTGTTTGAGCACCTTTGTGAAATACGTTTACGTTTTCACAGAGCAACCTACATGATGGAAAACTGTGAAGCAAACAATGCCAAACTCTTGGAGCGCCTCAACTCAACAGCTCACCAGCTGAACACAACTGGATTGTCCGCTCATCACGGCAATGGTACAAGCAATATCACAAGTGGATATGTACTTCAAAAATGCGATCTGGAAACTTTCCTTTCCGATGTAGGTGAACAGTTATGTGTGCTTAGTCTTCAGTTTTTCAAGTAGTCCTGTAATCTAGTGTAAGTCAAACTAGATAACGTTTGGCGTCTTTGTTTCTCAACTGAATATCGTGTTAAGCCTTTTTAAAAGTAAAACACAGCGCGGAGGTCGGCACGACAATCTGGAGAATACCCTAATAGGTGTAACCCCTCCCTTCCCCTTTGAAAAATCCTGGCTACGCCCCTGTGTCAGTCCTCAGTAATCTTAGGTATTGAAGAATCGCTTCTTCGTAATTTACTAAACATCGTGTCAGGTAGGTGCACTTTCTTGAAAGGATAGAATTTACGACTGGGTCATGATTTAGATAAGCTTAGTGTCTCTTTTCTGCTGCACCATACCGTGAATGCCATATGCAAAGCTCAGTGGAAATCAAAACGAGAAATTATTGGTGCCACGACCCTAATTGCTAAGGCCACCTTAAATTTTTTGATATCCAATAGGCAGCCAGTGGTCCAGGATTGGTTTTTATTGCTTTCACCGATGCCATCAACCAAATGCCTGGGGCAACCTTCTGGTCTATCTTGTTCTTCCTCATGCTTCTAACCCTTGGGCTGGACAGCTTGTTTGGAGCGTTGGAAAGTGTAACGACAGCCTTGCAAGACGTCAAAGGATTTGGAAAACTAAGACGCGAAATTCTATCTGGTAGGGAGTCTCATGGTCTTTTTTTTTTCAGATACAAGAAGGGAATTCTTAGAATGTCTTTTCTGTTTATTGAGGGAATTTTGACCAATAAGAGCATAGGGTACTCACCACGCATCAGGAAGACTCAGTTTCCTCGCTCGCAACGAGGTAAAAGGAACGAAATACCAGCGCAAATTGGCTAGTAACAAAACTGTCAGAGGAAACACTTTTCAATCCTTCTCTCCCTCTTAAATTGGAGCTTAGAACAAACATACCCCTACAAGCTTTACATTATTGAAGTAAGAGAAACTTGCATAAATCAAATTGGAATGAGGCGTCGTGAATTCAGATGGATGCAGATGCGAGTGACAGATCATGAACGCCCAAGTCAAATCTAAATTCGGTAATAATCAAGCGTAATCTTTTGTATGTTGCAACGTGTGTTGTAAATCCGTTTTATTCCAGGGCTTCTGTGCATCACTGGCCTATGTATCGGTCTTCCCATGGTCACATATTCTGGTGAATATATTCTTCAGATGTTTGACAGTTTCGCAGGCAACCTTCCCCTGTTACTCATCGCAATCTGCGAGTGTGTCGGTGTTTGCTATTTCTATGGCATAACAAGGTAGAGTTGATTTCAAATTTGTCGTATCGATTACAACACAAGCTTTTCTGAGATAAAAATGAAGACATCCGGGAACAGACAATGCTAAGTTACCTTTATTCCCCCTTCGTTGACAGATTTTCTGATGATATAGAGTACATGACGGGTACTCGACCAAACATCTTTTGGAAAATCTGCTGGATGCTCGTCACCCCAGTTGCCATGTTGGTTATCCTGATCGCCAGCATCGTTCTCATGTCGCAAGGAAAGGCTTCTTACTATGCCTGGAACAAGGAAATGGTAAGCAAACTATAGGCTCTTTAATCCTTTCACACCCAGATCTCATGGTAACCCTCCTTAGTATCTGCCATACTGTTCTCACTGAGGATGTTAGTTCGTAGAGTTTGGTATTAGATCAACTAATGATTGCCCAACTGATGTTTAAACAGGTCTTGATTCTTTTTAACCTTTTAACTCCCATGAGTGACCAAAACAGAATTTCTCCTCACCAAAATCAGTACAATTTCAAGCATACGAGCAATGAGAATAAAGAACAAGATCAATTAGGGGATTATTAATTGATCCAATACCAAATTCTCTGAACTAACATCACCAGAATTATATGGCAGGTTGTAAGGAGAATTGCTAATGAGATCTCGGGAGTTCAAGGGTTAAAGCGTTGAGCTGTTTGCTATATCATAAATCCTTTATTGACTAAGCTCGTTCGTCCAAGATGGCTGGACGGATTTTTTCCTTTTTTTTATACCTCGACTTAGTCACGGTCCATAAAAACGCAAAAAAAAAAAAAAAAGAACTCCGCCAATATCTTGCTATCTTGACCTCACGCTTTATCAATAACGCATATTTATCGATCGTCTTAGTACTTTTCTTCAGGTATTTAACAGTTTATTTGAACTAGTGATTCTTGAGTATTAATTCGTTTGTGGTGCTCTCTACTCAGGTCACTTACGAGAAGGTCCCCTATCCAGACTGGGCAGTCTTCATCGTGGTTGTACTTGTCCTGATGTCAGTTCTCTTCATTCCTGGCGTGGCTATTGCACGATACTTTAACCTAGTCAAGTATCAAAAGTTGGAGCCTGTTCCATTAAAGGAAGCTGAGGCGAAATCTCACGATAACGACTTTAGCGACACAAACGTTTAACTTAATTTTCATCAAGCAGTGGATCCTCATCTTTAGGACAATCTCTGGGGCATAATAATAGCGTTGTATTTACAGGATGGTTGTTCGCTTAGGTTCCACCTTACTATGCTCATATACATTTAGGTAATATATTTACTCCTCGACCTCTTCCCTTCTCCTCATTTTTGACCGTCGTCCACTCCCTTGGTGCAAATTTCTTTCTCTCCCCAGCCTTCTGCTGCCATTAAAGTCAAAGGTGGCGGCCATAACTTACGCTAAGAAAATACTGAGCACGCGTTCGCCAAAATTACGCTTGCTGTGCAAAAAGGTGTCTACTGGGGTGTCAAGTATAAAATTTTTCTTTTGTTTTCCCTTAACCTTTTATACCCGAAATCAAGCATTTGAGTTCCCTTCATTTTTCTCTCTATACATCTTTCCGCAACCTTTTGGAGATCAAGGGAGTTTTCCCTTCCTCGGTCTTTTTGTTTAATTATTGTCGTGACCTCCACTATTAGCGTTTTTTTTTCGTGAGAAGAAGTACGACGCTGGTAATATTTAGGGCTTACAAGGTTAACGGAACTACGTCATAGAAAACTTGAAACAATCGAAGGCAACTTTGAAATGTTTTGTAATGTTAATAAACACCAAAGAGTTAAAAAATAAGCCATAAAGGATGGTTAAAGATGGGGAAGAATAACACGAATAACAAAGGACAAAATTTTAGAGATCGGGCTGAAGGTTTCACGAAGCACAAAGAGTAACGTAGTTCCTTCAACAGATGTTAGTCTTCGGTTAAGTTTTAACCGCTTTAACATAAAAACAGTCATGTAAAACTAACTAAAAAAACTCGTTATCAACTCATTCTCCTAACTAGCCAACTTGAGTTCCTGCCTCTTCCATTACTCACCGATCGAGTTGCCGGTTCCTTCTTGTTCTACGACGCAGTCGGTCTAGCCTTTGATTGAACTCCATGTTGCAAAAATGTGCTATTCATGGAGGATGATTATAAATCATTGTGAAAGATGTTTTCTTCTAGCAGAATCGAACACGTCTATTGAAAATAGATTGTAATCTGATACATACATGTCAAAAACTTTAAAGATATTTTAATTTTTAATCAGTGGAAACAACTAAAGTTATTTTGCGATTTCTACGCATTTGAAGGCTTTCTCACTTTGTGCAGGATATTTCGTTTCCTTTAATTATGTTACATTAAATAGGTGAGAAAAAGCCTTTTATTTTTGTATAATCACAATTAGGATATTTAACTACATTAAAAAATAATTAAAACAGTAATTAAGCATTAATTTAGTTAGCGTAAATCCAGTTGATTACATATATTAATTACACTGATTCAAATACTTTTAAAAATAGTGATCAATATCATTTGATCAGTTGTGCATTTGAGTGTGAAATTATTAGTGCAATTTACTCTGTTAAAAGTTGTTATGATGACTCTGCCCTAAATGCACATTCACTATATATCTATAAGACATGATATTCGGATTGAACAAAGACATCAAGTCACTTCCTTGACTTGCACACATCAATGAATTCTATTTGAATGAATCATATGCTGCCTATGAGAAGGCCTTGCCTGCTACTGATCCCAAATAAACCAGTAAAAGTGTTCTTTCTGGTGACAAGCAGGAGGTTACATGGAGTCTTTACTAGAATCTAGTATAACCTGATGACGGTCACTTGAAGTATACAAAATGCTACAAGTTTTAACTAAAACTGATGTAGATGGAGCATAAAGATAAGAAATAATTTCCTTACCATTACTCAATTTCTTAATATACAATAACTCACTTTCTGAATATATTACAACAACGTTTCACTATACTGTATCAACATGGCAAAGTGAATAAAGATAAATTCACTGATTGATTTAATCATTTTGAGTGAGGCCAGTGTCATACTAAACTGGCACATACAATACATAGCTGTACATGCTTCTCCCTGTGTGATTCCAAGTGGGATGTACAAGATACTAGAGATCCTTGCCATGGCCATGGGCCAGACATAAGTCTGTTCATAGGCCAGTAGCCAATCAGAGCATTGCTGTCGTGGCCATGTGATATTGACTGAGCCAGGTCAATTCGTTGTACATGCATGTTTCGACACACTGTAGATTCTGACAGCATGCAAGACCAGATGCGGACCTCTCTTACCTTGGTAGATAGAAATTACAAAACACAAGCATAAAAAGAAATTCAGGATTGCTTTAGTTTTGCTTTACTTTCCTCAAAGATTAAGGTCTACAGTCTGCAGCATCCTCTTGGGCACTCATACTCTTGCATGCTTTAGAGGGCCATTTTGTTTTCTTTTTCCTGAGTTCTTATCATCTCCATGTAGCAACTTCCATCTAGAGACCCCTAGAGCACATACTCACCCAATACACAAGTACCCACCCCTGGTTTACAACGAGGCTAAATTGAAATACAAAGTTGTCTACTTGTGTTCATGCCCTTAGAAAAAATATTTCAAGAATGAAACTTATTCAGTAGATCTTACCAAACCATTGAAAGGATACCATCCACAATGGCCTCGAGGCATGGCATCATCACTCCAAGGTGTGCACACTCCATGACTGATAACACCATTACCAATCTGACTATATTTCATGTAATGTCTGAAAGACAATGGGTATAAACATAAAATATTGAAGCAGAATCAGCAATGGAATCAAGTATTGACAAGCTCTCTCCAACTGAGTTGCAGTTTGTCAATCAACTAATACATTTCAACATTGTATATGTCTAAATTGAATTGGAAATTTTTCAACAATGAAAGTGACTGAAGATTTTCCCTTTAAGAGAAACACAGGAAATCATTCTAAAGGAAAGAAATTCCACCTTCTATAAATTACGGAATTGAGCCCATTAATGTTTCTTTAGAAGTTAACATGCTAAACCACAGAGTAGTAAGAGGCTTTTAGTAACAGGGCAAATAGTTTGTTCATTGAATCTTGCATTTTAATAGTTTCAATTATATATTCCATTGATGTTGCCTAGCATTTTACATTTCTAGTTTGTATTTTATTTTTTGATGTGTTTAAATCAGCTGTTTCAGTGGAACCCCAGTACTGTAAAGAGTTCACACCCTGTGTTTAAATAAAGTATGTATGTTATGTTACACTCATGTGACAACCAGATTGCTTACTACCCTGGATTTTAGTGTTAGTGTGATTATTTTGCAAATTTCCTTTTATACAAAACCAAGTTTTGTGAATCTATTTTAAATTTTAGCATAGCAATTTTCTCTCATATTGACCTTGGCCTTTACTGACTTTAAGTATTACTACTTCTTCTTGACACTGTTGTAATCCCTTTTAGGAAAACCACCAGCTTTATAACAGGTTTTCCTGAATGTTTGCCACTACTAATTCCACTCCTGGGTGGGGAGAGGTGGTGCTAGAAGCAGGACTGCTCAGAAGTCTGAGTTTACTATGGCTTGCTTACTAAAATTTTTTTTCACTACTTTTTTTTACTGTTGTGACAATTTCACCCCAAAGGAGAGACTGCTCTTGCCAAACTTGGCCAGTGGTTAGGGCAAGCTTTAATGATCTGGAATCAGTCATTCAAAGGGCAGATAACGCAATCCAACTTATCCAGTGGATAGTGTTATCCACCCTTCCAACGAACCACTTTGCCTCCACATCTACCACAGTTTAAATGAAAAAAAAAAAAGGATTAAAGCTGCACCTGTGAAGTTCATGTCCAATTCCAAAATTTATTGAGCAAACCTTGCGTCCATTTACAAACATGCACTGCCAGTCTGAAGACGCAGCCAGTGCAATGTGGTGCCACTGTCCATTGTTTATGCAAGGTCCTTTCATGTACTTGTAGGGTTCTAGGGAACCTCTAATGTGACCATCTGGACCTACATGAAGTATCTGCCAGTGATATTGAGGCCACCTGCTTGTCCTGAATAAGACCAACACAAATAGAAAAATCAATAAGAAAACATATAAATTAAAGTGCTCTTTTTAACTTGCCTTTGTAGATTAATTAACCTGTGGATGAGCTAAAGTATGTTTGTGAGACTACCTTACATAGCTGCTCATTAGCTTATCCTAATAGCAATGGGGGATTAGGGGAATAAGAAATAATTTGCTTCTTCTCTTTGAGGATTTCTGATTCTCTAAGCTATCTGTTTCCCTTGAGCTTTGCTCTTGAAAAACTGTTTGTTTTTCTGAACAAATTAGATCCACAGACATATATTCCAGGAAATTTTTCTTCCAAGGCTGTTTGTCATACGTCTTAGTTAGTTATATTACATAATAATTAAAGTAGCTAGGCTTAACTTTATCTGCAAGGTTTAACATTGACTTGAGAAGCTTGATATGTTGAATTTTAAGGTAAGATTAATAAGATGCTTCTTGTGTTTTGGCATGATATGATACAAGTGAAGACTTGCTGGAAAAATACTGATTTTAGACATTAACAACAAAAGTAATAGAATAAACCAGATCAAAATTTGTAAGTATCACAAGTAAAACTCGGTTAGTAAGGAGCCCCATACTGTAAAGTGGAGCCCTAATGCACTTATCATGACGAGTTCAAAGTCTGCCTAGTTTCCAAGCCCCTCGTCCGTGTAGTGCTCTCAAACTTTGGCAAACTGAGAGAGAAGCGTCTTCTTTAGCAAATTGTTTATAGAATGTCTATCAAAACAATTACTGAATTTCGGTTTTTCGTTTTCATGAATTATCAAACCGGTTTTGATAATTCGTGATATCATGCTCAACCTCATCCATTAATTTCTTACGAAATTTGCCCTTGCCGTCTACGTTCTTCGTTGGTAAAATCAAATTACTGTTTGCTGATGATGGACAAAAATCTACTAAAAATTTATACGCAAGTGTGTTCATTCTTATACTTCTTTCGTTTCAAGACACTCTCCTTTGTGTCGTTGTCGTGGTTTTCGCAAGCTCCCTGTATGTACATGTTGTGAAGTTTAGCACGTACAAAACAAAGCAGATCGCTACCTCACTGATTCACTCTGGCATCCAATAATTATCCCATCTGGTTTCTTCGTGTTAAGTTTCACCCATAGTTCTATGCTTTGCTTTTTCGGTGCTCGGTCGTCAAATCGAATTCCATTTATCGCACGTCTATTTTCAGGTCCTCTCGGATTGGTTACAAATTCCGCGCACAGTCTTTCCCCTTCGACACTGGAAAACCATCCCCTTCTCCTGTTTTTAAATGAGAGAGCATGACTGGCTCTAAGATACAACTTCTTCCAGAATCCTGGCTTCACATCAAAGTTTGCACTTTCCTCGTTCAGCTCGTTCGAAGTGGCGACTTCGTCATAGCGAGTGTTAAGATGAAGTTGTAGCAAGTGATCATTGTTACCTTTGAAACGTCTTTTCCATACAACATTTTGATTTGTTATTTCCAACAGTCTTCTACTCGTACATCCTAAATTAAGAATATCCTGTATATGTACAAGGTACACAATTATATGAAACCATATTTCCTCAGGAAGGCTGGAGGCTTCCGCCATTTGATTTGTGTTGCCTCGAGTTGATGTGTCACGGTAGTCGCTACAAGTAGTGCGTTACAAACCGGAAATGTACTTCAAGCCGGCGAGACTCAAAACATGAATACAATTTTTTTCTAAGTAGTGATGTTTTTGAAAACACAAAAAGGTAATATACTTGAAAAATCATAGAAATCATACTTGAAATTTACTGAAGGGCTTTTTAGCAATAGTTAAAAATACGCAGGGTATTTTAACAAGTAATACGACAATTTTGCTGAAAAATCGATTAACCCTAAACAGTAACAATTATGCAAACAGTTGTTTTTCTTTTCGTGCGCAACTAAATTTTGTTTCTAATGCTTACAATTGACTCACCCATGACCGGTTAATCGTTAAGCTTTCAATTTTTACGTGCACAGAAATTCAGTGCATCGGTCGATTATTGTTACACACAACCTTCTTCTTCACACGTGATCATATTTCCAAAACACACAACTGCACCCAGTGAATTATGATGTCTGATGTCACGATGACTAATGCGCTAGGTCGCTTGAGGTTAAATACTCCCACAGACAGTTTTCTTTGTAAATATTTTTTAGATCAATATGTTACTTAGAATTAAAAAAAAAATGTGTAATATATATCTAAACGAATCTAAACCCATATCCGCTTGTACACTTTTCGAAATATCGTACGCATATTTAAATCACTGGCTTATCATATCTTCCTCTGTTTTGAAATTTTCTCTTTTTTTCTGCTTCGTGCACATTAGATCCTAAGTTTGATCCACCGCGAATAAAAGTCTCCAGCTGGATTCGTCGAGCGATTCGTGAAGGTTTTCGTTGCAGGGACACGAGCCTTGCACGCGAACTACAAACATTTTGAATTTGGAAATAAAATTTTCGAAGATCCAATGAGGTGAATACCTGGTAGTAGGTGTCAGGAAAATATAACAACATTACAGAGTTTGTTATTGTTATCATTAAAAGATTATCTCGCTGACGTATTTTTGAGACCTGAAAATACCGTGACAACTTGTACTCAGCTTCCGTTATGCAGTATCATTTGATTGACACCTCTAATTACAATCGTCTCTTGTAAATGGCGCTTACGGAAACTAATTGATTCATCGTTCTGTGTACTTGTGGTTTGTCATGTGTTTAGTGAAATCCTGAGTAGTTTTCCTTACTTTCTTCGTTTATCACATCTTCTAACCAGTGCAACAAGATTTGAAACTTCCAATTACTAATTTATCGAACGGAAATAGGGATAAATATCAGCGTACATCATCAAAGATTGCGTGAATTCTTCGGCGAGATTCAATCTTTGGAGATTCCAAGGAATAACAACAGATCAGTTAATGCGTTGGGATGTGATGAGAAGTTAATGATCCTCGCTTTCGCCTTCATTTCATCTATTGAGTGGAGATCGCAATTTGTTCCTAGTTTCTTCAGCTGGTGTCTGGTTTAATTATTCTGTGCGTTCAGCATTGTTACGATCGACATCTCTGTTCATCGGGTCTTCGCTTCTATTCATCAGTGTAATGCAATAAAAGTATTTTTGAAGAGCAGACTAAATAGTCGCTGTTACCGGTCTCCTTTTGGCATTGGAATTATCTGGAAAAGCTACCGCGACTAATTCGTGTCAAGTATGAATGGAAATGCAAAAATTCAGGTACAAACCGTAAATCCTACACGGCATGTTAAGTCTTCGAGTCAGCCGGGCGAGCTTCCTTCGGCGTTTTTAGAGGACGATTTTGATGACAGAGATGAGCTGAGAGAACGAGAGTTGGAAGAAGCTCGAGCACGAGCCAGTCAGATGGAAAAGACGATGCGATGGTGGTCAGACTGCACCGCAAACTGGCGAGAGAAGTGGGGGAAAGTTCGCGCTGAACGGAACAAAGCCAGAGAAGAAAATAGACAGTTAAAACTGAAACTGGAGGCCGCAGCTAAGGAAATTTCGAACTTGAAGCGTGAGAGATTGGCAGCTCAAGAACTTCAGTCGAAACTTGAGAAGGAAAACGAACGACTGGAGAAGGAATTAAAGAAAGACAAGCGTACGATTCCTTCTGCTCGAGTTGAGCCATCGCTTAAAGAGAACTCACCTGACCATAGTGATGGTCTCAAAAACTCTAACGTTTATGAAACGACAGTGCCGAAATTAGGAGCTGAGAAACAGTTTATTGAACAAATTCTTCAGAAGAACGAGTTTTACGAGGGACAATGCGAAGATGGAAATGCCATCGTTCATTCTGTTCATTCTCATTCTGTTCCCGCTGAGGAACGGAAAAGAAACCGGGCGAGTTCTAAAAAACAGAAATCCATCGATGGAAGGCATGCAGAAGAGGAAAGTTCACAACAGGTTGCCCTCGTGCGAATGAAACTTGAACAAACGGAAAAAATGCTCATAGAGGAGAGAAGGTAAACGTGTATTTTCGGATAATTTCATTTAATTACTTTTTGCAAGAGGGAATAATGGTTGCCCTCACATTCCTTTGCCATAATCTGCATAAAACTTTGTGTGTAATCGAGGTCATATATTATTTACGAAGTTAAACGCTTAAAGGACTTAAGTCTGACATTTGGTTGTAAGTACAGGAAAAACATTTGGTAAACAAAACGGTGTAAACCTTCTAACATTTAAGATGACAAACTGATACTTCTCTTAATTGGTCATACTGTGCAGACCCGCTGGTTTGAAGAATGAGGATTATTTTGGGAATCTCCATTAGTTAATTAAACTGTCAAGTTCTTTATCGATGGCTACGATGACAAAAGACTAGATAATTTGAGGTCGGCAAATTAGGAAAATAGACATAACAAACATTTTAATCTAGTAAATGATAAATTTACCGTGGGAAATATGATGTTTTGTAGACTTTTTGAAGTGTAGCCAAATAATACTCAACCACAGTTTCATCAAATAATCTGTTGATCAAGTTGAAGCTCCCACATCCCTACCCCCCCTGGCAACTCACAGGCATTTGATCATTGTGTAGGCCTGGGGGGGTGGGGGTGGGGGGTGGGGAATTTGAGCCTAGCCAGGCTGGGGTGGGGAATTAGAACCAGAAGTGTCAAGTCTTTCCAATGGAATATAGTGTCATATCTTTAAATATGAAAGTGCTTAAAGTAAATAGTTCACTTTGCTTGCAAATGGTTAAGAAGAAAAGGTCTACAAGGTCTAGGTTTTAAAGCTTGGTTAATATATAGAAAGCCACAGTTGCTGATTTTGTCTTTTACAAAAAGCTTAGGTGGGGCATTTGAACACAATTTTTTACTGGGGGGAGTAGGAATCTGAACAAACCAATCTTGCCTTCTTGTTGCATTTTGAAATCATGCATATGATTTCAGACCAAATGCACACCACTCAGTTCAATTACAATTATTATACGCACCATGTATAAACCTTTTGCCAGCATCTTACAAGACAGGAAGTGAACCATTTATGTGAACACAGTTTACAAAATACACAAAGTGACTATATAAATGGTTGAGACCCTAGTTTGTAACTGATGATGATATATTTTGTTGCTTCTTCATCTTTCCACTAAATTTTTTGGAAAATTATTCTAATCCTCAATTTACTATAAATTATTGGAGCTTTTGCCTGTGATTGTCTCATCAAACCACTTCCTCCTTGAGAACCAGGAGACTGGTGGCAAAGTTCTATATTCTTTTAACAAAGTTTTATTTTTTTTTTCAGTTCCAAACAGAATCTCGTAGAGGAGTTGGATGGTCTTCAGGCTGATCTCACTGCTCTGAAGCTAAAAAATGAAGAACTCGTGGTGTCTCATCAAAATTATGCTCAGGAGGTTTGTTTTACTTATGTTTTGCTGTGGATAAAGCTGGACTGCATGTTTCAAACTTGGGCACCTTGATTGAAGAGTTACCACTAATCTGGCATGATTTGGCTGAAAAAAAGTTCTCTGTTAAACTTTTGCCTCATATTTGACATTAAGGGCTAGTTTTGCACTGGCAACACAGTTGCAGTTAGATAGCTCTTATGATATAGCAAATATTGCAAATCCTTGGTGCTTATGTTATTATTTGATGATCTTTTGTAAGTGGTTGGTGTATTGCCTAAGTGGGTCTTTCTGATGTACTAAAGATGATGATGATCTATAGATTGCAAGCGTAAGAAGCAGACATGAAAAGGAAGTTGGACAACTTAATGCTGACTTGGAAGATGCCTGTAACTCAACCAACAATTCTGCAAATGCTCGTAAAATTAGTGAACTTAGGGGAGAGGTTAGTAGTCACTAGTAGGATCTGGAAATGTTTTACTCTTGTTACAGTTGTCATGATGTCACAAATATTCACAAATCAAAATACTTAGACTTAATGACTTTCCATAAGTAGAAATATGGTTTCTCATAAAACATTTATTCCTTTAATTGTTTAAAGATTGAAAGATTGCAAGCTGAGAACACACAGGAATGGAGCAAACGGGATAAGCTGGAGAGTGAGAAGTTGGCTTTGGAAAGAGAAAACAAGAAGATGCGATTGCAAATTGAGGTTCTTAATATTTTTAATACTGACAGTGGTAATTTTTTGATTACTGCTGAATACATGCTTCTTGAATGCAATCATCGACATCTAATTGATCTTAAAATGAGATGATTTATTTTAAGTGTCCAAAGTTTCTGTAGTATAGTGATATTTTTATGGGCTAAGTTGTTGACCCGCTGTTCAATCCTCAACTTGGAAAACCAAAAGTGGGTCTTCATTGGGCTTTCTACCCTCCAGCCAATCTGGCATGGTGAAATCTGCCTAGGACTGAACTCACGGCTAGCATGGCTAATAAGGTCATTAAAACATGCAAGTGTCACTGCTGCAACAAGGCGATAAAGCTCAGTGGAGGGTTACAGAGCACAGCACAAGTATTCAGGCAGCTAGGGTTTGTAAACTTTTGGTCCCCTAATTTCAGGGGGAGTACAGCCCTTTAAAAAGGCTGTGCTTGGGCCAACTGGCCTGAGCTTATCTTGGTTTTCATTGCATGAAGTGACAAGGAGTAAGTTAATCCCCCAGTATTTCGTGAGGCTGCCCTCTCAATTTGTGAAAACCCCTTTATACTTGTGGGTAAAGAGAAGCATTGTGAGAGAAGAGTGTTTTGCCCAAGAACACAACACACTGACCCAGCCAGGTCCTGAACCTGGAAATTTGAAACGAGAGTCCAGCACACTGACAGTGAGGCCACAGTAGAAGATTAGAGACAGTGAAGTGTCTCTTCCCTTTTAAAACCCACACACATTTAATCTTTAATTTTATCTCTAAGGACCTGACATCTCAGTTGACTGAATCCAGCAAAGCATCAAAGGGCTTATTAGGTGCTGACGTCAAGCAGTTACAAACACAGCTTGATGAGAAGAACAGAGTAAGTCTATTGAAATAACCTTTTTTTTTCATTTCACTGAGAGAAATTACTTGACAATGTTCAAATGAATAGAGGCTTTTGGTTTTCTTTATGTTTTGGCTTGTGTTAAGAAATAAGGGTGCCAGCTGAAATTTTAAGCAAGGCAGCTGAAAGACAGCATTCAATATTGAAAGATTATAGGTGTGTAACCTCAGAAGTGCCCAGCATTCTTTGCTGAGCAATTGCCAGCCAAAAGCCCAGCTGGCTATCACTGCTTTTTCATCTAGCAAGTTTTGCTAGCAGTGGGCTTTTAAGTGACAACTTAAGTTCCTGCAAATTAGATGGTGCAGATCATGTAAAGTCAAGGCACTAATGTCCAAATGATTACTGTCGCTGGTGATAAATATTGTGCAACCTTGATAACACATGATCAGAGGGTGATAGATATTTAGTTGGTGCAGTTTTGGGAAATCACTAGAGAGGTTACTGAAATGATGTACAGAGAACAATATTTTCTATGTATGTCATCATTATGTCCCTTAAGTTTGACTGCAAGTGATTTTTTTTCACAGGAGTTGCAAGAATTAAGGCATGCTTATGGTAAAATGAGAAAGCAACTTCAGGAGAAGGTATAAGTCAGCATTTTGAGTTTCTGAAAGAGTTTTTTTTCTGTAAGGGTTGTAATATGTTACAGGTGGGATATGGCAGTCATGGTAGCCTTGTGGTCAACATGCAGGTCTTAGATGAAGAGGTTTAGTTTTTTGCCCAGGCCAGAACTTTGTGTGGAGCATCTTGTTTTTGTAAAAAGCTCCAGTCTCTTTGCTATTGGTTAGCTTCCTATCCAGGAGTGAACATACTCCAAGAGGCTTGGTGCTATACAAACAGGAGATAGGCATCAGGAGGCCATTTTTCAAAGGGTGGATAATGCTACCCAAGGGATAAATTGCTAGTCACTTATGTTGTAGACTACACTCACTCATCCCAAGTGTGCAGCCTTTATGTTTATTAAAAATGATTGTGTTGTTCATTGTTAAGGCTGAGGAGCTTAGTCATGCCAAAAAACGAGTGGAACAGCATGAGAATGAAGTCAGAAAACTGAGGACAAGGGTGGAAGAGTTGAAAGTTGATTTGACCAAAGCTGAAGATGAGGTAGAAATCTAAGTCATTCAGCTAGTTTTGTTGGTTGCGATGGAAAGGGCCAAATGTTAATTGTCCAAACAATCTAATTTTTGGATTGAGTAATCAAATTCATGTATCTATCATTACCATCATAACAGAATTTCTTTGTAAAATTGGAGCCTTTAAATTGAGATCAAGAAAGGGGTTATATATGGCTGTCATGGAAGCCTGGTGAACAATACTGAACCAAAAACCATAGCCTGGTAAATTTAATCACTTACACAAATGTAGGCAGTTTCAATAAAGATTCAGTTACTGGCAGTTTTCCACCAACTTTAAGACCTTAAGACCTTATTGCTGTCTGTTTAGCCCACAAGCTGAGGCTCTTGTGTTTGGGTTCAACTTACCCCACAGCCATCTGTCACACCTGTGGCAGCCACTAATGGAAAAATGTTTTTGAAACTTTTGCACAACTGCTTAGAAGAGTGTAATGAAATATGTGCTTATTGTTCATCATGGTGTAAGATTAAGGAGATGAACTTTGTTCGTTTGTCTCACGATAGAGTCACTTATGATTAGAAAAACATCAAAGCAATTTTCATTCATCAATCTGGTAAATTATTAATTTGATGGGAGATAGTGATTAATTGTTTTGGTTTAATTCATTCATCTAGCTTGACTGTCAAACAAGCAATATGAAGAAACTACAGCGCAGTCTGGATGAACAAACAGAGCTTGCTGACAGTTACAAAGTTCAATTGGAACACTTAAACTCAAGGTATTTTAGAAATGTTTATGGTTATAATTTTATTCTCCCCCAGGGGCTTATAGCTTTTCAGCCAAGCACAATAAGTCCAATTGTTTTAGACAGATACATGGTTGTGGGTTAGAAGTTCATATTTCCCCAACTTAAGGCAAAATGTCACAATGTTTTGATGGGTTTTTATGCATACATCAGGTTGAAGGCTGGAGGGGTAGCTCCAAGTATCAATCCAAGATATAAACCTGGACGGGGGTCTTCAACTCAACTATCATCAGAGGAAAGTGAGGAGGAAACATCCTTTTATTGAAGCAGCAAGATGATGGAGGATTCTTGCAACACAAATACCAGTGTTTCAGTGGAGAGGAAGACGTGAGGATGTAGAACCATCTGAAATATGGGGGGTCAGATGCCAAAAATGTTCACCTGTGTTTTCACTAAGTCTCTATGACTTGCATAAGAGCAGTAAACCACCAACACTAGCACTCTGTTCTCAGCTGTACCTGCAAAGGAAAGCATGCTTGTTATTTACAGAAAGTGAGCAAAGCAAGATGAAAGACAAGTTATTTAAATGCAAGTGACAAAAAGCTTTCCACAGTTGCATAAGAGGCTTTCAAGTGCTCATGGTTCATGTTTTACACTCTCTGTTTTTCTTTGTAATAAATACTTGGTCAGCTATTATAAATGAAGTTCTCTTTTGGAAGCAAGGTTTAGTCTGCTTAATGCTGCTGATTTACATGGCCATTATAGTTTTTCCTTGTTTCTTTTGGCTGTGGCAAGTAGGAATTGATTGCAGAAATATATGGAAAAAATGAATATGAGAGCAATTCAGTAATGAACCCTACTTAAGCAGTTCACATGTATGATTTTCATATATTTACAGTTATTGACTCATCACCTCACAGGTTTATTACGAACCAACACAATGACTAGCTTTTGGCTGGCTTGTTGGCTCAGTCGGTAGAGCACTACACCATGATCACAGAGGTCATGGGTTCAAATCCTGTACAGGCCTAAATCTATTTTTTTTTTCAGTCTTTTCAGTTTTCAACACTACTTTAGTAGTGTTTATTACTGCGAAGATCACTTTCATATACATTTCTTAAACCGCAGTTCACATATATGATATTCATATGTTCACCGTCAAAAACAACAACAACTAAAATTAACTCTGGCACATTCATCACACAGGTTTTTTTCCACGTTTTTGAAAGTCATATTGGAATTTTTGGGTGATAGTTGCTGTAGAGGTAGAAAAAACTAAAACCCAGAGATAGCAGGGATGAACCCAAACAACATGCTCAGTTTTGTCTATTCCCTATGCAGTCACAAAAGTAAAACCGTGAAATAGGGTACTGGCTGCAGCACAAGATTTGAATAATAATGGAGCAACAGATGTAACATGAGACCAAATGATTTCCCAATATACATTTGTCCTTGTTGCTATGGCAACTATTATTTTTATGGCTGTTATTCTATGGCTTACAGTTAATAACAAAAACTAAACAGTAGAAATATCATCTTGGGGATCTTTCTAACCAGTATCATTATGACAATTCATAAGTTTTGTTCACCTTTGCAAGCGTAGGTCTCGGCGGCTAAGTGTTAAGCAAAAACTCTGCGGAACAAGAAACTCAAGATCGACGAGGGTGATGGAAACAGCCATACAAAATTTAGCAAAATCTCCTTGATTTAAAATCAACAATGTATTATGCAAATGTAAAGCATGTTATAATGTTCATGTGTGGTTCAACCACGCCGTTTGACTGTTGGTAAATCGCAAATGGTGTTACTGAAATAGTCCGGCACATTGGAATAGTCGGCAATTTCCGATAATCACCCGACACGGAAACTCGTCACTAGTGTTCCTCGGGCTTACGTTGGCATAACCGTTTTCGGAAGGAAGAACTCTTCATACTGTTGACTGAACGAAGGTGCAGAAAGTGCCGTCCATATTTAATTTTGCTGTACAAAATGGCTCGGAAAATATGCACACCATTCTGCATCAAAGGAAAGCCTTGCCTCAAATACCACGATTTCCTCGTTGCGATTTTAGAGTGCCCACATATCAGGGACTAACGCGGGAAAATGGACGAATTTGAAGAAACCGTTATCTTTTCTAAAGAAAGGCTGGAAGACAGAAGAAGAAATCCCTGATCCCGTGAGCAAAAAAGCATACAAAGTAAAGCTGAGTGTGTTGCTGATGCTTATACCATATTTTGATGTCTAATCATAACCATTACAATTTCCTCAAATGTGATTGGTGCATCAGCTGCTTCATTTTTCACTAATCATTCTGTACAGTTGTAATCGGACAGTGTAATAGGACAGTTGGCTGTAATTGGACACCTGTAATCGAACAGTTCAAGCAAACAATCATACTAGGTCCACTCAGCTAAATCCATTAATCACAGAATTGATCACAATAACCATAGCAACAACCTCTTATCCAAAGAGAAATAAGGTAATTTCCAAAATGTAGGTATATTTAACCAGTAAGGACATTGTCTTCACTGGAGATATTTGTTCTAGGTGTATTTGTTTTTTCGGAAATTGAAATGGTTATGATTAATTGGTAGCAGGATTTCTTGTCGTCCAATTCTGTCAGTAACCATACTCTTGATTAACAAATAGGACTCCTGCTTTGCGGTCGTCCCATTTTGTTAATCACTCGTATGATTACAGACCGAATTGGACTCCTCTCAGTCATATTACCATTATTTATAGGGCAACATAGAATCTACTTTTTATGTGATAAAAAGCAACCATGGTAATGTCATCCATGCATCTGTCTTCTCATAGATTATGAGAAAGAATTAATCAAAATGCTTGCATAATTAAGCTTATTATAAATGAATACCCCAATAATCTTTCATTTGATCTTTTAGGCTTTGACCCTACTGTTTGTTTGTCACTCACCCAAGAAACTGCCCTGCATAGATGTATTCTCTATCTACATTACAGCAAGATCACACGCCTCAGTTACAAGACTAAGATTATGATACATTTGCTTAAAGATTGTCTGCATCTACAGGATGAAGCCTTGCAAACACTACTCCATACTGCTGCAATAAAGCTTGGAAGTGGCAACATG